CTTCCACCAAGCCGTGTGAAATGCATCACTGAATCTCATTGATATTACTTCCTGTGTAGTCTTTGAATTAATCCATTTCTTTCTTTTTCCCTCACCAACACCTTGGTATTCACAATCATCTCCTCTTTCTATCATAGCCCACTAAGTGGTCCCTGGGTTCCTCTCTTTCCTCTTTTTAATCTATTTCCCACCCTACAGGCAGAGACATCATTCCACAGGCAAATTTATAACCTGACATCCAGATTAAGTGTTTAAAATGCTTTAATAGGTTCCTTTATTTTTATTTTTATTTTTTTTATTTATTTTTTTTTTATTATTTTTTTTATGGTACGCGGGCCTCTCACTGTTGTGGCCTCTCCCGTTGCGGAGCACAGGCTCCGGATGCGCAGGCTCAGCGGCCATGGCTCACGGGCCCAGCCGCTCCGCGGCATGTGGGATCTTCCCGGACCGGGGCACGAACCCGTGTCCCCTGCATCGGCAGGCGGACTCTCAACCACTGCGCCACCAGGGAAGCCCGGTTCCTTTATTTTTAGAACAAAGAACAATGTCTTTATCATGGCCAACTGTGACGTGGCCCGGCTACATCCTTACTTTCTCTGGTCTCAGCTGTCCTCTTTGATTTGCCATGCTCCCCTCCTACCACGTTAGATTTCCTCTTGTTGATGCTTTTGACTGGAACGCTTTTCCTCTAACTCTCACTTCTGAAAATTGCTAGTCATTTTTTGGATCTCTGTTCAAACATCACTTCCCCAGGGAAGCCTTTGTATTGCCTCCCCCTCCCCCTTACCCTGCAGTAGCTGGGTCAGGTCTCTAGTTAGATATTCTTGGCATTATGTACTCCATTGCATTTATCACAGTTTATAACTACACACGTATTGTGTGGTGATTAGATGATTACTACTGATTTCTGTCACTAGACTATAAGCACAATGAAGAGAAAAACTGTATGGTTTTCTTATCATTTTAACCTCAATATCTAGCAAAGTTTCTGGCACACAGTGAGCAAGCATTATTTCTTCAATGAATAATGAGTGTCAAAATGGGGGTCATTAACAAGTGGTTAAAGCAACAATAAAGTGCTTATTGCCATTCACCAGCATCACTTTGATAAGAGTTTGAAGGATTAAATTATTTCAAATTTCATAACGAACAAATTCAACAATTTTGTTTAAATTCGGGAATTTTTGGCATCCCGTAGATGTGGCCAAAATGAAAGTTTAGTAGCAAATTCCTTGAATTACTACAGAAACTCAGAACTTTATTGCTAAATTGAGATTTAACAATTTTCTAGTATATCCCTCATTATACAAGATAGAGTCTTATGAGATCTTCAAAAGGTCATTTAACCTGTTCGTGACAGAGCAGGGATGAAAATCAGCCATTTAAACTCCCAGTTCAATTTTTTTTTGCCACAACTATGCTGTAATTTCTAGGTTTATGGCTTCATTTTCATATTAGAAATTTGTAAGACCCTACAAGTACCCGTAAGAGAAATATCTCCAAATGGTTAATTTTGTCACATCACTTAGATTTCTGCTTTCAAAAACATTAAAACAAAGAGCAATATTTTTAGAAAGGTGAAAAGCAAGCCCAATTTTTTAAGAAATGAAACATTTTCATGCCTTATTTGCAATTCACATTGTGTGCCTTAAATGAGGGGGAGATGCAGACGGTACATGCTTCCCTGGTTTCTTAATATTCTGAAGTAAAGAATTTTCCCAGTTAAACCTGGTTGTCCAAATTTCATTTATGAAAAACCAAAAGCAAGGTAAATTTTGAGGAAGGGGTTGGAGAAATGACCTTAGTAGATGGAAGAGCGCTGCTGGTATCCAGGCTATTACAATTGGCTATGTGACCTTGGACTGCTTACTTCCCCTCTGTAAATTTCCTCATTTGTACAATCAGGAAACTGATCTAAATCATGGGCTCTCTCTGTTGATGGGCTTCCATGATCCCACTAAGCCCTTTGGTGTGTGTATGTGAGTGTACATTTTTCTGGGAAGAGGGTCCATAGTTTCTATTATGTTGGCAAGGATCTGGGACACAAAACACATTAACTGCCTTTGTGCTAAAATCTGAGGGTCCCTCTGAACTCTGGAAATGGAATAAAGCTATACATAGAATTATAATTTCAGATGGAAATAGGAATTAGTATAATTATTAGCATGAGTAATAAGATAGTTTGAAAAGCATAGTCTGTACAAAGGAATACTACTATCATCAACCATACGTTCAAGTATTAGCTGAAGAACTTCACTGGAAGCCCAGTCCAGATTTTCCAGAAGTAGCATCAATTGTTCCAGACAATGTAACTACATGTGATAAAATCTCAATATGTCACAGGTTTTCAGTCCTTCCTTTTTATTTATGTTTTAATGATCCATCAAGACAGGCCTGCTACATAGGATTACATGGAGTGGAAACAATCCAGAGTAGTCTGTCAGCAAATAAAGATACTTTCTTATAGTTTTCAGGATATCTATTCCAAAACATTTTGATAACTTTTGGATGGTTGAAGAGCCATGGTTGCTATAGTACACACATATTTACTAAAGACACAGAAATAAAAATCACTTTCTTATCACTGATTTCCTTCCTTCTTTTCCTTCTTAATGTAATAATATTCCTTAATTGTCTCCTATGTGTCAGGGCACTTCTAGACACTTGTGAAATATCAGTGAACAAACTAATATCTTCTACTCTCATGGTGCTTACATTTCAGAATGGAGAAATAAAATAAACAATATGCATAAAAATAAGTTAGCTATTATTTTTAAAGGTGATAAATGCTTTGGCCAAAAAAAATAAAGGAAAGAAAGAGCAGGGAAATTAGGAATATCAGAGATGAGGAGAATGGTTCCAATTTTAAATAGGTCAGAGAGGGCCTCACTGAGAAGGTGTTGATTAGTAAAGACCTGAGGAGATGAGGGAGTGAGGCAAATGTATAATCTTGGGGAAGAGCTTCCCAGACAGTGGGAAGAGTCAAGGCAAGGGTATGCTTGATGTGTTCAAGGAATAGCAAGGAGGCACTATGGCAGGGGAAAAGCAAAATTCATTCTGCTGCTAATCATGTTACTGACAACGGTTTAATCTCCAAAATATACAAACAGCTCATACAACTCAACAACAACAATAAAAAACAAAGAACCCAATCAAAAAATGGGCAGAAGACCTTAATAGTCATTTCTCCAAAGAAGATCTATGGCCAGTAGGCACATGAAAAGATGCTCTACATCACTAATTATTAGAGAAATGCCAATCAAAACTATAATGGGGCTTCCCTGGTGGTGCAGTGCTTGGGAGTCCGCCTGCCGATGCAGGGGACGCGGGTTCGTGTCCCGGTCCGGGAAGATCCCACATGCCGCGGAGTGGCTGGGCCCGTGAGCCATGGCTGCTGAGCCTGCGCGTCTGGAGCCTGTGCTCCGCAACAGGAGAGGCCACAACAGTGAGAGGCCCGCGTTTATTAGATAAATGCAAATCAAAACTATAATGAGGTATCACCTCACACCAGCCAGAATGGCCATCATCAAAAAATCTACAAACAATAAATGTTGGAGAGGGTGTGGAGAAAAGGGAACCCTCCTGGCACTGTTGGGGGAATGTAAGCTGGTGCAGCCACTATGGAAAACAGTGTGGAGGTTCCTCAGAAAACTAAAAATAGAATGACCATATGATCCAGCTATCCCACTCCTGGGCATATATCCAGACAAAATTATAATTCAAAAATATTACATGTACCCCTATGTTCATAACAGCACTCCTCACCATAGCCAAAACATGGAAACAAGCTAAATGTCCATCGACAGATGAATGGATAAAGAAGATGTGGTACCTATATACAATGGAATACTACTGTCATAAAAAAGAATGAAATAATGCCATTTGCAGCAACATGGATATAACTAGAGATTATCACACTAAGTGAAGTCAGAAAGAGAAAGACAAATACCATATGATATCACTTAGATGTGGAATCTAAAATATGGCACGAATGAACCCATCTACAAAACAGAAACAGACTCACAGACATAGAGAACTGACTTGTGGTTGCCAAGGGTGGGGGGAGGGAGAGGGGATGCACTAGGAGTCTGGGGTTGGTAAGTGAAAACTATCGCATTAAGAATGGATGAACAACAAGGTCCTACCCTATAGCACAGGGAACTATATCCAATCTCTTGGGATAAACCATAATGGAAAAGAGGATTAAAAAAGAATGTATTTATGGATATAACTGAGTCAGTCTGCTGTAGAGCAGAGATTGCCACAGCATTGTAAATCAACTACACTTCAGTTAAAAAAAGAATCATTCTGCTGCTGTGGTCAGGAAATTTGTAAAATTTCATCTTCCAGTTGACACTTCATTTTCTACTGCTTACTTGTTTAAAATGAAAGTCATAATAACTCTTGAATAATCTTCCTAGAGTCTCATATTTGTCAAGAAAGGCAAAGTCAGCATTCTTCTGAGAACTGAAAAACCACCCCAAAACAATGATCTCTGGTTGGTAATGTAGTTTAAGTCTCTCAGTTTCCAGACATATATTTGGCAATGAACTGTTATGTAATAAGCAAATCTGCCCTTTTAATAAGAGATGATGTCAGTATAAAGAAATCAAGTAAAATATCTTCATTTTGAACATTTAGAGATTGGGCACAAAACATTTGCTATATTCCAACAAAGAGAAATTCCAAGATTCATAGCTAACATAAAAGCACCCATTCTTTCTGAATGTCACTGTTCTTTTGGGCATTTGTTAAACTGTCCATTTCATTAACTTTTTTCCAGAAAATAAAACAATCACGATTATCGTACAATTTTCATGGCATTTATCTGGGTGAATACCTCCAAAAAGAATACACATATAAAGGTACTACATTTTTATGAGGGAAAGTCAGTCAGCCCTCCCACAAGTAAGTATCTTATTCCTGCCTAGTGCCTTGCCTGAAAACTCACCATGATCCACAAGCTTACATATAAAACAAAAAAATGTACACAGCCATACCTTGCCCAACTGATCCTTTCTGCCAAAGCCAGTGGCAGCTGCAATGCTCCCTGCTCCTTCCACTGTCTTCTGTGCTACTGCAGTCACCCCTGTCACCACTGCCTCTCCAACATTTGTCACTTGCTCTTTGGTCTTCTCAGCCACTGGAATAAATCAAGAATGACAGATTAAGGGATGATGGACCGATTGCCACTTAAAATAATTTCATTTCCACTAGACATCAACTTCTAAAGGCCTATATTTGCACACGTAGATAACTAAAGAGTAAGAAGAAATAAAAGCTACCGAGATTTCTAAGTGAGCGTGGCTTAGCCAAACATATCAATAGAATCTTTGCTAAGATAGTCTGTTGTAATCATGCAGATATTAAGAGGTGTTGCAAGCTTAATGATCACAAATTTAGAACCATAAGCAATTTCAGTTTGGTTTACTTTTTTATTAAGGAAAGTTTACAGCAAGCAATGCTTACAGGGGCAGTTGTATGAAACTTAGCATGAAATTTATTTCTTTATTTCAATTTCAATGCCAATTCTTTGATCTCACTCAGCATGCTTGTTTCATCACACCTTCTGAGTCACAGAACACATATGTGCTCTCACACATTACCATCAGAAATAAACAATAGAGTAAGGGAAGATTATGAAGGAACTTTGATCCTTTTATGAAACATCAGATAATTGAAACAGAAGGGGTTTTAGTGATGAGACTGATTTTCAACCATTTTAATGGGAACAAAAGAGCTAGACATAAAGTATGAAAATGAAATGGTTTGTTGAGCACACTTACAATTTCTTTTCTTTAAAAAAATATAATATGGTGATTCAGTAGGTTTTTAAAAATAAGTTTAAATTTTAAGAGGGTATAAACAGTTTGGGATTAGACTTAGAAGAGATTTAATCTCACATCAAAAATTCTCTAAGACTATATCTGATATAACTGTTGATTTAATCTTTCTATATTACCTCCATACAAATATCAAATAAAGTTGCAGTTAAAAAGTTTGTTTCAATTAAATGAAGAGTTTTATGAAAACGAGGTAAAGGATGAGATTCTGCACTGTTAACAATTTCAAGGTCAACAGAGAAACAAAACAACCCTTCACCTAAACTTTATAACATTTATACTCATAAAGCCTGGGTCTGCATTCTTACCTATATCTATGTAACGTTTGCCTTCTTTTCTGAGGAATCCAATGAGTTGCACTATGTTAGCTGTTAAGTGTTATGTGCTAGTCACATGATTATTGTACAGATTTCATGTCACCAGGTGGGAGAGGCCAGTGATTAAACAGTAATCATGTAGACAAAACAACTGGGTTTTGAAAACACTATGTAGCTCAAGGAAACTGAAGAGGCTGTAAGGACAAAGACCCTCACTCCTCAGTCCAGGCAATGTGGGGAAGCAGAAGTGACCCTAGAGTCTAAAACCAGAAAGAGTTCACAACAGGTGATATGGTTGATGCCTGCTCACTAGTCATGGCTATTCTCAATGCAAAGTTCAGTTTAAATGCCGGTGAAAAGCTGTACTGGAAATCTCATGTTTTTAAACATTTACAGAATGTTGATGCTCTAAAAATAGTGAATGATGGGCTTTAAGTTTTCATTTTTTTCTTTTCTAAGAACATGAATAGAAAATTTTACTTGAAAATGAACATTTCTTGTTACAAAATCTCAAAGACAAATATAAATTTTGATCTTTTTACAGATTCATTTTTCTGCCAGCCACAAAAGTTTATTTTTATAATTCGAGATTTACATACATATACACTTGTTTAATGCACATAAACTGCACAGTAAAATGCACTTTGTACTTCATTATAATTTTATTAGATTTTATCACTGTAAGAATAAGTAAATTAGTTACATTACAAAATGGCAGAGTTTACATATAGCAATGGTAGACACATTTTAAAAGATTTCTGTAGGACTTGATTTATCTAGTGGATTATTCACTGACCTCGAACTCCTTTGTTAAAACCGACCTCAAATGTCAGCCTCCACGTTAAAAACCTCTCCTCCCAACAAATGTCCTTGTTCCTCCTCCTGTGATCCCATAAAATTTTAGGTATATCTTTACTACTGAACTGTTGTTTTGCACCATAATTGTTCCTTGCCCAGTATGTCTCTCCACCTCCAGCATGCACATACATGCGTGCATGTACGTACACACACACACACACACACACACACACACACACGAACCCCCGAAACCCATGTTTACATTTTGTCATTCTGGAGAAAACTAAAAAATTCTGACTTTGTCAACAGTTATCCTTGCAGCGCATCTCCACAGCCTCCATTAGATGGTAGTATTAGTTGTATTCTTTAATTTTTACCACAGGCTCTGAACCTTGAAACGTGGTTATCTGCTTTCTCAACCACATGGATTCTCCTTCAACTATTAAAATGGAAAGCTGTTACTCTACACAGGCTCCCTTCATACAGCATAGTCTACAACTGTCTGATATCCATTTCTTATAAAAATCATACTTCATAACATCCCATTTACAGAAGGTCCCTAGAGGGCACTTTATATATATCTTGGATTGGAACAGAGCAAACGTAAGCTGAATACTTGTTTTTTTAATTTGATGATTAACTTAATTTTTTTTAACATCTTTATTGGAGTATAATTGCTTTACAATGTTGTGTTAGTTTGTGCCGTATAACAAAGTGAATCAGCTATACATATACATATATCACCATATCTCCGCCCTCATGCGTCTCCCTCCCACCCTCCCTATCCCACCCCTCTAGGTGGTCACAAAGCACCGAGCTGATCTCCCTGTGCTATGAAGCTGCTTCCCACTAGCTATCTATTTTACATTTGCTAGTGTATATATGTCAGTGCTACTCCCTCACTTCGTCCTAGCTTACCCTTCTCGCTCCCCGTGTGCTCAAGTCCATTCTCGAGGTTGGCAATTTATTTCTGTCCTGCCCCAGGTACTTTCAGAACCATTCATTCTTTTTAGATTCCATATATATGTGTTAGCATACAGTATTTGTTTTTCTCTTTCTGACTTACTTCACCCTGTATGACAGACTCTAGGCCCATCCACCTCGCTACAAATAACTCAATTTTGTTTCTTTTATGGCTGAGTAATATTCCATTGTATATATGTGCCACATCTTCTTTATCCATTCATCTGTCAATGGACACTTAGGTTGTTTCCATCTCTGGGCTACTGTAAATAGTGCTGTAATGAACAATGTGGTACATGATTCTTTTTGAATTATGGTTTTCTCAGGGTACATGCCCAGTAGTAGGAATGCTGGGTCATATGGCAGTCCTATTTTTATTTTTAACAAACCTCCATACTGTTCTCCATAATGGCTGTATCAATTTACATTCCCACCAACAGTGCAAGAGGGTTCCCTTTTCTCCACATCCTCTCCAGCATTTATTGTTTGTAGATTTTTTGATGATGGCCATTCTGATCGGTGGGAGGTGATACCTCATTGTAGTTTTGAATTGCATTTCTCTAATGATCAGTGACATTGACTATCCTTTCATGTGTTTGTTGGCAATCTGTATATCTTCTTTGGAGAAATGTCTATTTAAGTCTTCTGCCCATTTTTGGATGGGGTTGGTTTTTTTTGACATTGAGCTGCATGAGCTGCTTGTATATTTTGGAGATTAATCCTTTGCCAGTTGCTTCATTTGCAAATATTTTCTCCCATTATGATGATTGTCTTTTTGTCTTGTTTATGGTTTCCTTTGCTGTGCAAAAGCTTTTAAGTTTCATTAGGTCCCATTTTTATTTTTGCTTTATTTCATTTCTCTAGGAGGTGGGTCACAGAGGATCTTGCTGTGATTTATGTCATAGAGTGTTCTGCCTATGTTTTCCCCTAAGAATTTTATAGTGTCTGGCCTTACATTTAGGTCTTTAATCCATTTTGAGTTTATTTTTGTGTATGGTGTTAGGGAGTGTTGTAATTTCCTTCTTTTACATGTAGCTGTCCAGTTTTCCCAGCACCACTTATTGAAGAGGCTGTATTTTCTCCGTTGTATATTCTTGCCTCCGTTATCAAGCGTAAGGCGACCATATGTGCGTGGGTTTATCTCTGGGTTTTCTATCTTGTTCCATTGATCTATATTTCTTTTTTTGTGCCAGTACCATAGTGTCTTGATTACTGTAGCTTTGTAGTATAGTCAGAAGTCCAGGAGCCTGATTCCTCCAGCTCCGTTTTTCTTTCTCAAGACTGTTTTGGCTACTTGGGGTCTTTTGTGTTTCCATACAAATTGTGAAATTTTTTGTTCTAGTTCTGTGAAAAATGCCATTGGTAGTTTGAAAGGGATTGCATTGAATCTGTAGATTGCTTTAGGTAGTATAGTCATTTTCACAATGTTGATTCTTCCAATCCAAGAACATGGTATATGTCTCCATCTGTTTGAATCATTAATTTCTTTCATCAGTGTCTTATAGTTTTCTACATACAGGTCTTTTGTCTCCTTAGGTAGGTTTAATCGTAAGTATTTTGTTCTTTTTGTTGCAATGATAAATGGGAGTGTTTCCTTAATATCTCTTTCAGATTATTTGTCGTTAGTGTATAGGAATGCAAGAGATTTCTGTACATTAATTTTGTTTCCTGCTACTTTACCAAATTCATTGATTAGCTCTAGCAGTTTTCTGGTGGCATCTTTAGGATTCTCTATGTACAGTATCATGTCATCTGCAAACAGTGACAGTTTTACTTCTTCTTTTCCAATTTGGATTCCTTTTATTTCTTTTTCTTCTCTGATTGCTGTGGCTAAAACTTCCAAAACTATGTTGAATGACAGTGGTGAGAGTGAGCAACCTTGTCTTGTTCCTGATCTTAGTGGAAACAGTTTCAGTTTTTCACCAATGAGAACAATGGTGGCTGTGGGTTTGTCATATATGGCCTTTATTACATTGAGTTAACTTCCCTCTATGTCTACTTTCTGGAAAGTTTTTATCATAAATGGGTGCTGAATTTTGTCAAAAGCTTTCTCTTCATCTATTGAGGTTATCATATGGCTTTTCTCCTTCAATTTGTTAATATGGTATATCACATTGATTGATTTGTGTATATTGAAGAATCCTTGCATTCCTGGGATAAACCCCACTTGATCATGGTGTATGATCCTTCTAATGTGCTGTTGGATTCTGTTTGCTAGTATT